GTTGTATTATTTATTGTTTGAATTTATAAAGAGGAGGGGGAGATAAGATGCAAGGGAGTTGAGCGAAGAAGAAGAGCTTTGACATTGGTTCTTGCTGGTGTACATTGTCTTTTCCAATCTTTTCTACTTCTTCTTCTTCTTCTTATCCTCTCCATCCTCTCAAGTTCATTCATTTCCTTTTGCAGTTGGTGAACATTGTGCTGATTGGTGAATTTGTACTTCGCAATTGGTCCGGGTCATAACAGATGCAATGAATGGGCTGAAATGTGGAGGGTGCATGGAAACCTCTTCGACTTTTTCATCACTGGCCCTTAGGTGAGCTGCTTCTCCTTCCAGCACATAATCTTCCCCAGGCACCTTTATCGTGAGTTTGCCCATGTTGTAGGACTCTGCACCACAGGTAGACAAGAAATCCATAGCAATTGCACATGAAGTTCAGAGACTTTAAGGATGCCATAGAAAGCAACAGTAATACAACAAAGAGCACCCACAGTGCCAGTACCAGAGAGAAGGTGAGATCGACACTGAGGCTATTTATTCTAAGCGCCACAGGGGGGTGGAGAGAGAGAGAGAGAGAGAGAGAGGACACGAGGGCACTGTACCTGTCAACCCAGGTTTTCCTGCTGCATCCTCTCACAGACAACTTCCGTGGCAGTTACTGTGCATGGCACCACCCATGGCTCTACCCAGAACCCCCTCCATAGCCAGCACATGCTTCACTGTACTCTGAGCAAGGGAGTGCGGGGAGAAAGACCGGGACCTTGACGATGGTTCAACAAAGTAGCATCATTTCGTCCTTGTCCATGCAAATCCAGAATAATGTGGCCCTTGAAATGATAAGTTGCATGACAAAATCCCGCCGAAGGAGTCAAGGGCATACAGGTTTCAGGGTCATTTGCTCCATTTACATTCAGCTCTTCTTGGATGGAAGAGAGCACAACAGAGAGGGACCACCTCACAAACCCTGCTCCAGGTTTTATCCCCATGAACGCATTAGGTCTCATTTTCGCTTTCCAGTTTTGCATTTGCAACAACGATTGCCTGCCGGCAGATCCCGTCCTTACTTTACCCTCTCTCTCTCCCATTTCATACCGTTGCCACTCAAGTCTGCGATGCTTGCCCGAGTTATCTTACCTGTGGAGGGAAAATGAAAAAATTCAAAGGAGGTCACATCAGACAGGCAGACAACCAAGACATTGACGGCAAACTTGCAGAAATACAAGTTATACAACGAACGCATGATCCCCAATAACATCCCCAAAAGATTGCACCATTTTAAGCCAATCAAGCAGCCGAAGAAAAGAAAGAAAGAGAAAAAAAGAGTTTCAGAAAGGGAAAGGATGGGGATGGAGAGAGCACGCTAACACAGAGAGGGCCAATTCAGGAGAGAGCGGATGGTGCGTCATCAACAGGCAAGACTCGTAAACGATTGAAAAGTCGATCGGATCAAATGAATCAAATCTCCAGTTTTCCTTGCTGAGACATTCCCGTCATCGACTATACACATACTAAACTCGGTGGAAAAACTGTCCTCCCCTACACAATTCATATGGGTGGTACAGCCCTGGCCTATTTATAGCAAAACAAACTTGCAGCTACTGTTTGCTAATCTCTTTACTACTATAGTATGCGACATCTGCTGCACTTGTGTCCATCTCAGTAAGACCCAGGTCCTCATTCTGCTCATAAGTCCTTTCAAATTGCTCGATTGTTAATCGCTTGTCGTCCGCCATAACATCCGTAACAGGCGCTATAAATGAGTTAGCGAGTGGATCATGAAGGATAAACGTTCATGGCATCGTAGCTAAGGTCAAAAGGTCATGCAGCCTCCTATCAAAGTCCTCCCATCTCTGCTTCTGGGACCCCTGAGCGCTGTCTCCAAAGCCGCATCCATGCACACTCTTCAAGCTTTCGCTGATCTGTGTCAAGCGTCCCTCAACTGTTGTCACAAGACCGGCCAGCGTCCCTGGAGATAGTTCCAATTCCAATTCTGGTATCAGCACACCAGCTGTGTCGGACTTGATGACATCGCGCTTCAGGTCGTCTTCGTTCTCTATTCTCACGGTGATTGTTCGTCCCTTCTCTGGGATGGCACCGCCTGACTTCAACTCGGAGTTTCAATAACCGCATGCATCACAGGTGGAGGCCATGACAATGACCTCCTTGACGTAAGGAATGTCAGTGACAAACATCCGCATCTCGCAAGGGGCCGCACAAGCCCCGCATGTGGAAGGAAACACCATAACCTCTTCAGGCGCTGAGTATTTGCAGATGGCCGCAAACGCCTCCTCGACTAGTGGCCTGAGCAATCACACAGTTTGCTGCGACAGCACCCACGGCTCCATGTGGTCGGTGTATTACCGCAGGCACATACTTCGTTGCAGCAGTGTTGCTGGGACCACCGCCACTCCGGGCACTCACTGCAACTGCGGCATTGCCACCATCGTCAGCGTCACCCCCGTCAACTGGCGTGGCGACGACCTGCTCCGCCTCCGTCCCTGCACCTCCTTGATAGTCGGACAACACCATGTCATCTGTCAAGAACCCAAGCGCCCGAGTCTGCTCTTTGGAGCGCGCATAGAATGTAACCGACATCGAAGGATCTTTTACTGGAGCTCTAGGATTTTCAATGAAGCTGTTTCCAGCAGGGTCATCGAGGATCAGTGTGAATGCGCACTTGCGTTGAACACAACCGTCTAACTTTTCTAAGAATGCATTGACTGCGTCCACGACTGCAGGATCCATTTTCCGCCGCTCATCCTGCGACTCGCGGAGCCCATCAGCTGCTCTCCTGAGCATTCCTTCAACAGTCGACAGGCTGCCTTTCTGTGATGCTGGCGGTACTTCAAATCCCAACACAGGGATGTAAATGGCTGCAGAATCAGACTTCACCACTTGCCTATTCATACTGAAACCGCAAGCTTGTACCGGCACCCATGTGGCTGGTGCTGACCTGCAAACTGAATCTCGCTATTCCTCTCACCGCAGTGAGGACACTCAAAGGCCATTAGAACTACCTCCCTGAAGTAAGGGATCTTCGTCATAAGCATTTGTGTTGTGCCACTTTCTTCACATCGCATGCACAAGCTCTCAAGTGTATGCAATGGGGTAGCAAACTGCTCACAGTCTTGTTCTATGATTGCATCCTCCTGGGTAGATGCAATCGTCGCCGTGCAAAAAACGTGTGCACAACAAAGCAAAACAGCATTGCATTGAGAAGAACCAAAGGACATGTCGGGCACAAGACAAAGACAATCTCAATCAACTTTGCAGTCACTTTCAAGAAAAGAAGAAAGAAAGGAAAATACTGGAGGGCGAATGAAAGGCGAATGACACAGAAAGCCGATGCATCACATCCAAGAGACCAAACTGTGCACAAACCGACGAGAAGAGAGGGAGAGGGGGTGTTGTCAAGATGATCAGGGTGGTGGATGTGACGGAGGCATCATTAAGATTGCTCGGTGAAAGAAAAGACCCCCCTGATGACCAACTGCCCTAGCTCAGTTGGTACACCCACGAACTGTTAACATACCCACCCAAGTTCGAATGCGGATGAAATCAGACGAGTGAGGACAACTGTGAATCAACCTGGGGCCGGTCAATTCAAAGACGATATCTAAAGGCCGTCGTCACCCTGTTTTGAAAGGAAAAAAAAGGAAAAGAAAAGACCCCATGATGCACAACTACGTCGGGAAGACAGCAGGACTGGAGAGGAGGGGAAGGGAGAAAACAGAGCGAAAGTAAAAATGGAGCTTCAGTTAGTAAGTAATTCCGATTGTTAAAAAAAAAAAAAAAAAAAAAAAAAAAGTCATTCCCCTAACTTCCCCAGGGTTCCTGGCAAATCAACTGCCATTGTAGCAGTTTACCAAATTCCCTTTCCTTTTCCTTGTGTTATTCTGTTCATCTGATTGCATCTGGATTCGAACTTGCGTCTGTATTTCAACAGTTCCTGGTTGGACCAACTGAGCTAGGCTCGTTGGTAGCCTACCGCAATCCATCCTATTAAATTGACATCCCATTCAATGCTTTTCTCGATTTCCCGGTCAACGACTCAACAACGCCTCTCTACAAAAGCTCTGTCCTCACGGAGGACCAGCACTCGCAAGAGTGCAGACATGCAAATCCCCACCACTACCAATCACCTGTCTTTTCAGAACAGGAACTTCCCAAAAGGAAACTGGGCATATAACAAGGCCAATTAATTAATTATTATCAGACACAACAAGGGAAAAGGGGGAGAGGGGGGAAAGCACCGGTAATCAACCCACGAGAAAACAATTATGCAGGGTAAGATGGAAGAGGGTGCCCAATCGGGGCTCACTGATGAGGCGCAGGCCTCTCT